CTCAACTGACTGGCGGACTTTGCCCATGGACGAGTTAAACTCGTTCCTTCTGTCGTCCAGATCACTGCCTTTGTAGCCGGAGCAAATCCACTCCAACACGCCATTCGCCGGGTCACCATAAACCAAAAAGTCGCGAAATAAATCGCGCCTAGCGTCCAAATACGCTTCGAGTTTGCTCAGCCCCTGGACTGCCCCCCAAAAGTGCTCACACAGTCCGTCTGGAGCAGTCACTGCCTGAAAATTCAGGCAGTGTCTGCGCTTGTGGCCGCTGTAGATCAACCGCTGCAGGTCGGCAAAACTTGATGCAACACGTTCGCGCTTCTGAGTGATGCGGCATGTTTCAAACTTGCTGCCATCAATGAACCCAAAGATGTTGTCCATGTATGATCCCTTGGTCTTGACGGCAGCGGAGTACATCTCGAGTCTTGGAACGACAATTCAGTCGCAAAAGTACAGCAGTTCTTTCCACTTGTCAAACAAGAAGTCTATTACGTCGTTAAAGATACGACAAATAGACTCTCGTGACCGGCCAAACGTCGCCATCATGTCGTAGTAGCGGCGAGGGTAGGACATGCGGTAGAGCGTGATACATAGAGCTTCCGAAGCAAGACAGCGATCGCGGGACGATATCACAACAACTTCGGGCATTCTTAGGGCGACCACAAGGCGTTGGACGCCAGCGACGTCAAATCGGAACTTCAATCGGGAGTCAGCGTCAGTGATAGTTTGCAGGGCAAAGCGTACATTAGGGATGATGGGTCGCTCAACAACGCATGCCAGTAGCCGAAGTAGACGCAACCGCTGGCGAAACTTGCTGGTGCGCCGCTTCTTAAGAAGCACCTCGATTTCTTGGCAGGACAGCATTCAGAGTGTGCTTGGCTAGCCAGTGAAGAGCTACATGTAATTTTGATTGGCTGATATCAACTGGATAGAACTAGTTTGCAGCAGATTACTTGCGAAATTCGTGTTTGATTTTGATGTATCCTATCTGGGTTCTATCGTTTGGAATGCGGATAGAACAGAACTGACGTTTGCGAAATCTGTCTACTGATTAGTTACTCGCTCTTTTGGAACCTTTACAAGGTCTGAACAATTCAAACTAAATGAACCGAACGATGCATGTAGCGAACAGATCGGTCCATGGCAATACGATTCTGGCGATTCATGCGATAGCGGCGCTGAGACTCGGCCCGCTTTCGCAAATGTTGTGCGTTGAATGACTCCATAGATCTTCTCACCCCATGTGAACGTGGCGTAGGACACCTTCCACAAGGAGCACACGCGGTCGAAGAAGTTCTCGACGACCACACGGTCGGACGACACCCGGCGGTTGCGCTCCACGTCAGCGGCGCCAAAGGCTCCATCCATTCTACGGGCGGCGCTTCGAATGGATTCCACGCATTACTTATTTCAATTTCCTTAAATAGTACATTTTTCGCTCGCACTGTTTCTACCTAAAGTGTACTGTTATTAGGTAGTCCATTTGGTTTAAACAATGCACCCATTTTTGGGGGTTTGAAGTATACTGTACAGTGCTCGGCGAAAAACGCAGTCAGTGCTACTGTCAAGGTCATTTCATAAATGTATGGAAAGTGGTATTGGGCTGAAGTGTAAAAATGTTAGATTGGTGATGACTGAAACGGGGCACCCTGACCAAATGCATTCTATTCGATAATAAATGTTTAGTATTGTCCAGTCAGATTCAGGTATTAGTGCAGTGTATTAGTGCAGTGTAACGTTACGATTGACATGTCGCAAAAACGGTCAAATTCACGAATTGCACAAAATCGACATGCTGATTAGATTCAGGAGAGGGGTTTACCACGAGAACCCTCCTACCTACCGACTGATCTCCCCCCGACTTGGAAACGGGGTAAAATAAATATTCTCTATGACCTAATAATATAAAATGTTGAGGGAATGTTTGAATATTATAATAACATCGCACTTTTGACCGCAAATCACTTCAAGATGAAACAGCGGATGACACTGGCCGAGAAGAATGGCTTGTACGCGGAGCACAAGCGAAACCCTCAAGCTACATACAATGAATTGGCTAAATGGGCGGCGAAAAAGTTCAAACTCGAGACAATTCCAACAAAATCTGCGATTGGAAAGGCCCTTCAGCGAGTCGCATCGCAATCCCAGCGCGTAGACAGCAAATCACGATATATTGATCGTGCAGTTAAATCTCCCGAACTCGAAACCGAACTACTCCAATGGGTCCTACGCTGCGAGGAGCCTGGAGTCTGCCTCACGGGTGAGCTCATTCGCGAGCAGGCCAGGACAATCGCCACTCGTCTCGATCTGCCCCCTTCGCAATGTTCCACCTACTCAAAA